GGCTCAGGCTGCCGGCCCCAACTGCCCGGCCCCGCTCTCCTTGGGGCTCGGGTTGGGGTTCAGGCCGCCGGCTCCCCCGCTGATGGGGGCAGGGCTCAGGCTGCCGGCCCCAACTGCCCGGCCCCGCTCTCCTTGGGGCTCGGGTGGGGGTTCAGGCCGCCGGCTCCCCCGCTGATGGGGGCAGGGCTCAGGCTGCCGGCCCCAACTGCCTGGCCCTGTTCTCCCTGGGGCTCGGGCTGGGGTTCAGGCTGCCGGCTCCCCCGCTCACGGTGGCAGGGCTCGGGCTGCCAGCCCCAACTGCCCAGCTCCACTCTCCCTGGGGCTCGGGGTGTCTGTCCTGCAACCGGGTCCCACCTGCTGTCTCCAATGCCCAGGGTCCTCTGTCCGCCATTAGTGACATTTTTCTGGCGAACCCCCTGTAACGTTCTGCGAACCCCAGTTTGGGAACCACTGATCTAGCCTGACCTCCTGCCTAACACAGGCCCTAAACTAATTCCCAGAGCAGGTCAGCCAATCTTGATTTAAAAAAGATGGAGAATCCCCCACAACCTTTGATTGTGCAGAACAAGAGCGTAGAGAAGGCATCTCTTGTTTTTCAATCCTAGGAACAATCAGGGATGTCAAATCCAGTCTGCCCGGGTTTTGCGAGGAGGTTTCTCCCTTAACCGAAAGATGTGGGATGTTAGCTCTTTAACAAAGATGTCCTGTATCCAAACTGTTAGTTAGTCATTGGAGTTAAATAGGCCTCACCCTAAAAAAAACTGATTACACCCCTCTCACTAGCTCAGTGTTCGCTCTCCTGATGTCCCTGTTTCACTAACTTTCGTGCCCACCCAGGCCCTGTCTGCATTCACATTTTATTTATCCCCTAGCACTGTTGCATCTTCCCCAGCTGCATAGAGCGGGAAGCCCTAGTACAGCTGAACAGCTGGCATTTCCACCACCAGCCAGCTCGGCCTGCACTCAGAGCTAACAGCGGGAATAAGGAGGAACCTCTCGGATTCTCTCTGTCTGATACACCCTCCCCAGGTGTCTCATTGCTCCACAGGAGATTTAAGTGATGGGCTGGCTGAGCAATCATTCTCCAAATGCATTAGACAGCCTCTAGCATTGCCATGCAGAGGGGTGCTTAGTATCTGGTGCCCCTGTACTTGCCACTAGCCCCAGCGTGGGGGCTACATCAAACCAGTGAAAATGATGTTTTGTCTGCATCATGAATAAAGTCCTCCATACTGTCCTGCATGGAGGTGATTGGGGGGAAGGAGGGGGCGGGGGGGAAGACTGGAAACTGTTCTTCCAGCCTTTGCCCAAGCAGGAGAGCGGAGTAGCGGTGAGTAGGCTCCCCCTGTGGATCTGAGAACCAGGTTTTGGTCTAAAAAAGCATGAAAAGTGATTCCTTGAATTCAGGTTCCACCGTTGCATTAGACAAACAAATGCTTATGAACAGCAGGGAGCCCAGAATCGGTTCCCAGGGGATCCAGCAGGTGGAGTCACTTTCTTCCTCTGGTACGGAGTTTCCCCTCCTTCTCATCACTCATCTCTGGGTTTCCTAGAGAGCCTCAAGCTATTAGATTGGGGCAGAGGCTTCCTTACTAACCTCCTCTGGACACTAGCAAGATAAAGAATCCAGGTAGTTATCACAGTGAGTAACGAGCCCAACCTGCAGAGTCTGGCTACACATGAAAGGCCTGGTCTACACTACGAGTTTAGGTCAAATTTAGCAGCGTTAAATCGAATTAACCCTGTACCCGTCCACACAACGAAGGATTAAAGTAGGGTGTGACTTTAAAATGGATTAACTATTCCTGATTAATGCTCTGTGTGGACACTCTTATTCCAGAATAACTCCCCCTGTAGACAAGTCAGTGCTGCATGTTGCTTCCATTCTCCCTTCCTGCCAGCAAATGGTAAAAGCCACAGCTGTAGTATAATTTATTAGGTGTATTATGGGAGCACCTAGGCTCCCCAGTCACGGACCAGGACCCCATGGCGCTAGGCGCTGTACAAATACAGAAGAAAAAGACAGCCCCAAAGAGTTTACAATCTTTTGCCCTTTAAGGGTTTATAAGCTGCTTTCTCTGAGATGGATTTAGAGGTGAACTGGAAAACTTGCCCCACATACAGCAGCTCCTGGCTCAGAATATTTGTTTTTAAAAACAATTGCAAATAAAACCATTTTAAAACAATAAATCTTAGAAGCTCATTGTCTGTGGGGCCCAGTGGATCAGAGGATTGGGAATCCTTACAGCAGTGCCAGGTCCAGGCTGCATGGTGTATTTATGTGGCCCACATGGCCACAATCTGCAGCATCTCAGCTTTGATTTTAAGGAGAAAAGGTGAGTTTGCACCCCTCACGGGCTGTCTCAATAACCATCCAGACTTGAAGCAAGTGTAGCTAATTCCCCCAGTGCAGCGGCGTATTATCGCCTAGGCCAACAAGGCCTAGGCCTAGGGCGGCAAATTTGCCGGGGGTGGTAAATTTGCTCTTGCCCCCTCCCAACTCCACCCCTTCCCCAAATCCCCGGCCCGCCTCCTCCCCCAGGCGCACCGCGCTTCCCTCCTTCCACCTCCCTCCCAGGCTTGCCGCGCTGGGAGGGAGGGAGAAGCGAGTTGTGGCGCGCTCGGAGGAGGCGGAGCAGAGGTGAGCTAGGGCCCGCGGGCGCGGGGAGTAACAGGGGGCCGGGAACTGCTCCCCGGCCTGCCCCAGCTCACCTCTGCTACACCGCCGCCGCCATCCCCCGAGCGCGCCGCAACTCCCCTTCTCCCAGGCTTGCCG